GCGGGACCCACGCCCCTTCTCTGGGACGGGAGGAGACGTTTCCGAGCCAGCTGTGTGACATCCGTTTGCAAAGCCGCGCTGACGTCTCTAGGTGTAAGTTCAAGAACTGCCATTGGCCGGGAGCCGCTCGGCTCTTCCGCTCACCCCACCCGCGACTCGGAGACCCGTGGCCGCTGAGCAGCGGTAAACTGTTGCGTTAGGAGGCCGCCCTGTGCCGGGGCTGCCACCTCGGTCGAGGGGCAGAGGTGTGACCCTTGTTTGGTGCGCATCGGCGTTCCCACGGGAGGGGTTCATTGGCAGTGCGACACTACTGTGTTTCTCCACTTGTCATACTTTGTTACTTGTGGCGGACTACTGACCTTATAACTTTAATTCAAGATGAAAGCATGTATCAGATTACCTGTACACACCAGAAAGAGAAGTTTCTTAGCGCAGCGAGTCACCCAAAATCCCGGGCTATGAGCTATCCAGCTATCCGTGTGCACTCTTGGACTCCCATCTATCTGTCAATCATATTCTTAAAAAAGAATTGTGCAATGCCTTCTTTATGATAAAAATGGTTCCAGGTAGCCCTGACCGGTTTGGCTCAGTGGGTGGAGCGTCAACCTGTGGACCAAAGGGTCCCGGGTTCGATTCTGGGCAAGGGCACGTGCCCAGGTTGCAGGCTCGATCCCCAGTGGGGAGCGTGCAGGAGGCAGCCAATCAATGATTCTCTCTCATCATGGATGTTTCTGTTTCTCTCTCCCTCTTCCATCCTCTCTGAAATTAATAAAAAAATATTTTTTTAAAAAAAATGGTTCCAGGTAGACCTTGGTGACTCAGGTGAGAACGAGGAAATAGGCTTTGCAGACAAACCTTCAGAAGGTCGGACTGTAATGATATCAGGACGATAAGACAACAACTAGCCTGGTACCTGGTGTTAAGAGGTTAGCTTTCACAAGGGAGAAGAAATTGGAAGAGGCTTAGAGATAGGAATAAACCAGTACAAAGGAGATTATAAGGTAATAAATACAGCAAGGCCCTTGAGAACATGGAATGGCAAGTACCTTAGGAGGGATTCCATCTTCACTGTGACGAAGGAATAGGAAAGGACGGATGAAGAATGGGTACAGAAAGGTGGATGTTTCTGGCAAGGAAGTGAAAGAGTTGCTTTCTGGGGGTCTCTATTTTCCTTTAAGTGGGTCCTGGTTACCTGCTGAAGGAAAGTGGCACTAAGGATAACTTGAGTGGAAGCAATGTTGCAAGAGAAGGCACATCCGCGTAGGGACCATTGAGCCTGTGTGACCCTCCCACCATAGTGGCTGGCTTCACCCAGACATGCCATCAAACCTTTGCTAATAACGCCCTCTTTGTCAAGAAGGACTTTTGTTTTAGGTCTGTCAGTATTCAGGGATCTCCCTTTCCGAGCTTGATCTCAGTGAGATGGAAGACGAAGAAACCTAGAGGCAAAGATTTATGAAAGGGTTTTATGTACCTGTTACTACCTGTTACCATCGAATGCACTGCCCGAACTACAGTTACCTACAGATATTATCCACACAGCTTTCACCCCTCTGTCTGCAGAAGGATCTTCCAAGGCCCCAGAGCTTAATTTTTGAGGATAGGAGGTCAGGAGTGACTGGGATTGCCTGAGCTTATGACATTGTTTGCCATCTCTACTGGGCTACACTTGGAACAAAAAGAGAGGGATTCTAAGCTTTTTTTATTTGTACTGTGTCAAAATTGTGGACCCATTCGTTTCATGTAAGTTAAACACACACTATGACCTAGCATTTGCACTAATAAGATATTGATTTTTAAAAAAGTATATATCCACAAAAAGACTTGCACAGAAATGTTTACAGCTGCTTTATTCCTGATCACCAAAATCTACAAGCAGCCCAGATGACCATCCATAGAGAATGCATAACAGGTATATTCATTCAACTGAATACTACCCAGTATTTTTTTTAAAAGAAGAAAGAGAACAACATGGATGAATCTCAGAAATTTAGGCTGAATCAGACTTTGGAATTCGGGGTCCTAAAACCTCTACCTAGTTTTAACAATCTCCCCGTGTGATTACTGCACAGACAGCTTGGCACCATGCAGACCTCGCAAGAGTTACGCGTATCATCTAACTTCTTGTTTCAGAGATGAGGCATGTGATTCTGAGACTTTTGAAGTGGTTTCTGAAATTCATAGCACAAAGTTCTTGCTTCCAATTCTAGAGCCTTTCAGGCAACCTGCAGGTGGCTGTTTTTATCTTTACCACAGCATGTAGCAGAGGGTCTTGTATATTACAGCAGTGATTAAGTAAACTATTACCAAAGCTATGAGTATTAGAACACACTGCCCTAAATAATAACACTGATGATATTCTAAATATTTAGGAAACAATTACAAATAGGAGTTATAAATTGCTATTAGAGATCATTGTAGAACTTGACGGCTTTGTTACAAAAAGAAAAACAGCCTTGAACTACTGGAGCTGAGCTGGCACCGCTAAGCCCTGATGTCACTGGCATTCTCAGATAGGTCTGAATGTTCAGTTGAACATAATTTCAGAAAACACCCACATCAGACATAGCTGCTCTGTGACCATAATAGACAAGACAAAAGTGAGACCCCTCCATAATCATATCTAACCACAACAAATAACATTCTCCAAACCACCGAAATGTCCATTTTGGCTAAAATCAAGTGACTTGTGTTTCTTGACCAGTTTGCTATAACCTTAGCCTTGCCTCATTCTTCCTGCCTTCTAGATAATTCTCAAAATACCCAATCGTAGAATTACCTCTGCTTCCTGACAGCATCCATTTCAAAGCAAAGCTTTGATCCTTCCCAAAATCACCTTCCACAAGGCCAACCCTGTAATAAGTGTTTACAACACCTTCCTACTGAGACCCTCCATAGTTTCTCATGACGTGTTGTCTGCTTTCCTGTGACAAATCAAGAAACCCAACTTGGTTTGGCTATGGATGTGTTCCTGCTGGTCTTTGGCTGGAGGGCATTCACATTTGTTATAATCAAATGTCACCACCTTATCAAATTATTCCTTCCTTGTGCTGTACACCTTAAACTTACGCAGTGCTGTGTTATCAATTATATAATAACACTGAAATGAAATAAAATGAATTCCTCCTTTACTCTTCCCTCTGACCCTGCTTTTACTTTCTTTATATGTACCTCATTATCACACATTTATTTTGTCTTTTTTTTTTTTTTTAACTTTCATTCTCTTCCAGTAGAATGTAAGCTTCATGAGAGCAGATTTTGTTTGGTTTTTAGGAATATAATCTGGCCACTGTATGGAAGATGGACTAGAGTAGGAAGAGACTTTAAGCAGAAAGATTGTTCAAAGGGTCAATGTTAAAAGTATGAATGAAGGCCGTCATGGCGGGGATAATGAAGTAGGGGTAGAATTGAGAAATAGTTCTTATGTGGAGTTTTTAGGATTTAGTGACTTATTTATGAATTAGGTAGAGATGACAAGATGATGGTTGGGGTGGGGGGAGATGAAGAATTCCAAAATAATGACTTATTTTCATATTTGAATACAATTTAACCTTGGGGTAGACCTGCATTAGGACATAGATTCACACTAAAAGCCATTGTGTAAATTTAAAATGTTGAAAACAGCTTAACACGAAAGCCTTTTCTTTTTTGCTGACATAGAATATAGTCCCTTT